ATTGATCCATGAGTCCCCCGTGGAAGAAGAATTCGTAGTGTTTCCTCTCTCTATGTATCTTGAATGTATGCGAAATGATTTGATTGTTCACATCTTGATACCCTTCCTGCTTGGCGGTTCGATCAGCCTTCATTCACATAGGCCATGCGAAGCGTAGGGCTCCGGAGCCCTGTACTGTTTCTACTCCTATTCCCCCAAAAACTGCTACCAATTTTCTGTATCATGGATACGCATGGGTCTATGCTTTAAAGGCAGGAGCTATAAATTGCGAAAGAGCCGTTTATCCGTTGGCTTTAAGCGAGCAACCCGTGTCTGACAATTCAGCCATAGTGTCTTCCTTAGGAGCAGACCCGAAATGCTCCAAGAAAGGCTTCGTATTCTCGTTGTCGGCAGCGGTGGTCGAGAACACGCCTTAGCATGGAGACTGAGCAAGTCTCCGCTTGTCGACGCAATCTTCTGTGCTCCAGGGAACGGCGGCACACTTGGAACGCAATCTTCCAGGATATCAAATGTTGCCATCAAGGCTGATGACTATTCGGGCTTGGTTTCTTTTGCTCAGAAGGAACGAGTGAACCTTGTGGTCCCTGGACCGGAAGCGCCGCTGGTAGATGGAATTCAGGGGTATTTCCAGGCAGGTAGGATTTATGTTACTCAAGCCCACTCCACAAAGTAATTACTCGTTGTAGGAAACTGACCCTTTACAACCTAGTTGGAATAAGATGTTTTGGGCCATCGAAAGCTGCCGCCCGATTGGAAGGATCGAAGACGTTTTCCAAAGACTTCATGCAGCGTCACGACATTCCAACTGCCCGTTATCAAAACTTCAACGATTATAAAGCTGCATGCGAATACTTAGATTCTATAAACCACAATGTTGTCATTAAAGCCAGCGGATTGGCAGCTGGGAAGGGTGTCATTATACCTACAAACAGGGAAGAGGCGCTTCGGGCCTTAAAAGAGATTATGCTTGATCGAGAATTTGGCGACTCCGGAGACGAAGTTGTCATCGAAGAGTTTTTAGAAGGTGATGAGTTGAGTATACTGACGTTTTCGGACGGATATACCGTCCGCTCGCTACCCCCTGCGCAGGACCATAAGAGGATTTTTGACGGCGACCAGGGACCAAATACTGGAGGGATGGGATGCTATGCACCAACTCGCATCGCTTCAAAGGAAGTTATTGCTGAAATTGACAGGACGATTGTGCAGCGTAGCATTGATTGTATGAGGAAAGAAGGTATGGCCCTAGACAAAAGTGATATTGCCTAGTCCATAGCAAGTGACTAAAATTCAGTCCAGGTTTCCCGTTCGTCGGAATTTTGTTCACTGGGCTCATGATGACGAAGGACGGACCCAAGGTCCTCGAATATAATGTCCGTGGTGGCGACCCGGAAACCGAAACATTGCTACCTCTCCTCAGCGACGATACCGACCTTGCGGAGATAATGGTTGCTTGTACGGAGCATTGGCTCGATGGAGTGACCATAAAAGTGGATCCCAAGTTTGCGGCCACTGTTATTGCAGTGTCTGAAGGCTATCCTGGGTCGTACCCCAAAGGCCGGGACATCAAGCTCGGTGCCCTAGCACCAGATACGCTGATATTCCACGCCGGCACAACCACGGTCGACGGCAAATTGAAAACCTCTGGCGGCCGAGTGCTTGCTGCAACGGCGACTGCAAGTACCTTGGAAGATGCAGTTGACAAGGCTTACTCAGGAATATCCACCATCGACTTCCAGGGCATGTATTATCGCAAGGACATCGCGCATCGGGCTTTCAGAAACCCCTCTACTCAGCAGGAAGGTCTCACGTATGCGGCTGCTGGGGTCTCCATCGACGCTGGAAACGAACTGGTGAACTCCATCAAAGCCAATGTTGCGCGAACCAAACGTCCGGGATCCGATGCAATCATCGGTGGTTTTGGAGGCGCATTTTCTCTTGCAGCCTGTAATTCTGGGTTTCACAGCTCTTCGCCTACTTTAATTGGTGCCATCGATGGCGTTGGCACCAAGCTCAAGGTTGCGCATGAAATGGGGATTCACAATACCGTTGGAATTGACCTCGTCGCGATGAACGTGAACGATCTCGTTGTGCAAGGTGCGGAGCCACTCCTGTTCCTGGATTGCTACAGCTGCGGCAAACTGGATGTTGAGATCGCGGCGTCTTTCGTTGCCGGCGTCGCCGACGGCTGCGTTGAATCTGGCTGCGCTCTTGTTGGTGGAGAGACCGCTGAGATGCCTGGCCTTTTTATCGATGCTGCCTACGATGCGGTGGGTGCTGCGATTGGCGCCATCGATACGAACAAGAACCCCATTCTGCCCATTACCGATCAGATGAAAGTCGGTGATGTCCTGCTCGGTTTGACTAGCAGCGGTCCACATTCAAACGGCTACTCTCTGGTCCGAAAGATAGTAGAACGTTCCGGGCTATCCTACAGGGATCCAGCACCCTTCGAGACACCCGCAAGCTCCTTGGGCGCTGCTCTCTTGACACCTACTAGAATCTATGTCAAACCTCTCCTGTCGGCCCTTAGCTCCTTTGCCACTGGGACGATCAAAGGCTTAGCACATATTACCGGTGGTGGATTGGTTGAAAATGTTCCCCGGGCCCTTCCCAAAAACCTTTGCGCTGAAATCGACGTCACCACGTGGCCATTGCCCAGTGTTTTCAAATGGCTCAAGAAGACAGGGAATGTCAGCAGTTCTGAAATGGGCAGAGCTCTCAACAACGGCATCGGAATGGTTCTAGTGGTGTCTGCGGGAGAAGCGGACAAGGTGAAGGGCCATCTGGAAAAGCAGGGAGAGACGGTGTATGTTATTGGTGCTCTTATTGAGAACACGAATAACTCAGACGGATGTGTGCTGAAGAATTTGGAAACGTGGGACAATTAGTATAAACAGAGCATTAGACGGTCGAATTTTGATGCCTGGAAAATCATGGGTAACTAACGAGGACGATTCCTGGAGGCTTTTGTTTGGCATAACTCCTCTGTAGTTGAACTACTAGTTATCTGATGCACCGGAAAAAGGAAACATGAAAGCAATCCAATGTGTATCCGAGACCCTCACAAACTTACCAGTATTCAAAAGTTGTGCAAACATGTTCAAATATCTACATCTTGAATGGGTGTGTTGAGAGTGATTCGCTCTTTTCTTGGTTCCCTTGTTGCCCCAAGACCCCAACTGTGACAACACAACGCAACAGCGAAATATCCAGGCTGTTTCGGGGGAGTTGACTACCCTTCCATCTCCTACAGGAAACATCAACGATTCTTTCTTGTGACCACGCTGAGGCCTCAAGGTGCCACATCTCCGCTGGCCCTGCGCGGTGCTCCTCTGGCACAAGCAGTGTTCTTGTGACGAATCTCCCGCTTGTGGCTCGGGACTGGACCAAAATTCTTCCCATCCGTTAGGGCCTTGTACTACCCAACGGACGCATTCTGACGGTTTGCAACCATCAGAAATCTCATGCTTGAATCATCCCAATCTTAGGCTACGGCCTTGGGTGGTCACAGTGCAAAAGGCACTCCGCCAGGGAGGGCGGGAAATGGAGGCATCACATAGTCTTTCTCGCCTTCTGGCTGTTTGATATGTTGGCATTCAAAGGCTATTTTCAAAACTGTTGGAAAGCCGCTTCACCTGGCGAGCGCTCGGAAGAGATCTTTGGACAAATGACTCGACTTTGACCTCGCTCCTCCGGTCACCGGGTTGGCAAAATAATGCGGATGGATTATTATTCCGCAACGGAGTTCCAGCGGCAGTGGGATACAATAATGGCATTTCTGCCTGTGAAGGATGCTGGTGCTACTGAAGATTCTGCTGTTCCTTACAAGCAGATTTGAACTGGCATTACCCGTCTATCTTGATTTGAAATGCTCGTTGATGTATTTTGGAGGTGCTCCGCGGTGCACTTCGGTTGACCTCCCCATGTCCACCTTCACACACTCGTTCATCTAAGAAATGCAGTCGGAGGCCTTCCGCGCTGTTGGATCATTTCGACTCCTCAGGCGGTCGATGACTTGCCATCTGACAGGTTCAGATGTGAGAAATCGGGTGCAATGCTCTTGAATTAGAATGGTTCAAACGTGCCGCTGCCCACACCTGTGGTTTTCTTCAGCTACGATTTACAATGCGTGATGCGTTTTGAGGTCAGGCGCATCTAGGTCTTTTCCACGTATTCCTCCGGCCGCTTCCTGTATGGTCCAATATTGTGCCACGAGGAAGTACAAATAGCCGACTCCATCTCCTTTCCCAAGGCATCCCCTCTTGATCAAATCCAGATTTCAATTACACGGAACGTCTAATGATTCGATTTCTGCTAGGTCTTTTACTTACTCTTCAAACTCTCACTCAAGCAGCATTGATTCCAACCATGGCTGGCACTACCACCGATGTTGAGGCTCGGGCGGCGAGTGGTCTTCGATCTGTCGTATACTTTGTCAATTGGGTATGATTCTATCCATTCTTTCCACTTCATCAATCTTTACTAAGTGTGCCCATTAGGCAATCTATGGACGCAGTCACAATCCACAGGATTTGAAGATTGATCAGTTCACTCATATCTTATACGCCTTTGCCAACATTCGACCCTCGGGAGAAGTGTATCTATCTGACCCATGGGCCGACACTGACAAGCACTACCCGGGCGACAGGTGGGACGAACCGGGCAAGAATGTGTACGGCTGTGTCAAGCAAATGTTCTTGCTCAAGAAGAAGAACCGAAATTTGAAGACCTTGCTGTCCATTGGGGGATGGACTTATTCAAAAAATTTCAAAGCTCCGGCGAGCACGGAGGCGGGGAGGAAAATGTTTGCAGATTCCTCGCTGAAGTTGATGAAGGATTTGGGATTTGATGGTATTGATATTGACTGGGAGGTCAGTAGTTGAGATCCCCCCTATGCGGATCAGTTTGATGTGTTGCTGACTTGGCTGTAGTATCCTGAGGATGAGAACCAAGCAAATGACCTCGTGCTCTTGCTTAAAGCCTGCAGAGAGGTATGAACTCACTATCGAATGGCCAAGTATGAGATTGCTTATCAACCCTTAGGCTCTTGATGCGTATTCCGCAAAGCACCCGGAAGGCAAGAAGTTCTCTCTCACTGTTGCCTCGCCAGCAGGTCAGTTGCATTTGACGAATCTATTTGCTAGATTAGAAGAACCCTTATTCATATAAATCACAGGTCCCCAGAATTACAACAAGATGAAGCTGGCAGACATGAACAAGTACCTTGATTTCTGGAACCTCATGGCCTACGATTTCAGCGGTAGCTGGAACAAAGTAGCGGGCCATATGTCGAACGTCTTCCCTTCGACCACCAAGCCGGAAACCACGCCATTCAGCGGCGACAAGGCTGTCAAGGACTACATCAAAGCCGGTGTTCCAGCGAATAAGATCGTCCTCGGAATGCCCCTTTATGGGAGAGCTTTCGCAGAGACGGATGGAATCGGCGCTGCCTTTAGCGGTGTCGGCGGTGGCTCTTGGGAGAACGGAGTCTGGGACTACAAAGCCATGCCACAGCCGGGTGCTCAGGTCACCGAGTTGGACGATATCGCCGCCTCGTACTCTTACGATAAGGGCAAGCGGTACCTGATCAGCTACGACACGCCCAAGATAGCGGGTCAGAAGGCCGAGTATGTCACGAAGAATGGCCTTGGAGGTGGGATGTGGTGGGAAAGCAGCAGCGACAAGACGGGCTCTGACAGCCTTGTTGGAACCGTAGGTCTTCTGATCCCCTCAGATGTTGAGTTCAAATATTGACGACGCATCTACAGGTTGTTGGGAAATTCGGTGGCTTGGGAAGCCTTGAGAAGCGAGAGAACGAGATCAACTACCCAGAGTCGATCTACGACAATCTGAAGAATGGAATGAAATAGTTAGCTGAGGCTGGATACTACTTGTTCATAAGCTCATTACTTGTCCTTCGTTTTGGCACTGTACATAGTTACGATTCTCTCGTTTACCAGTTCGATCCGGACGGACTGCGGCGACTCTCGTTTATCAGGATTTACGACTAGTTAATTAGAATATCTGAAAGGCCTTTTGAATATGGATTTCCCGATTTATGTCCATACACCCCCTCGGGGAGGCCAGCAACTCGAATTCCTTTCCGCCGTGATAGAGAGGCGATGACCGCGTGATCGTAGATTTTCCACTTCACCTCTTCCCCAACTTCCTCACCAACAGACTTCCTCCCGTCCGGCCGACGCAGAACCGTCGATCAAACACAGCAAGCCGCCGGATCTAGCGTCGAGGTTCCAGCAAGTCAGAGAAATCCAAACCATTGTGATCTTCGTCCACGCGCCTCGCTGCGACCTGGCCACGACCAACTTGCCGAAGAGCTCTCCCGGACCCAAGAAAGAACCTCGCCGTGCTACAGACAATTCTCCACAAGTCCGAAGTCGAGTGCGCGGGTTTGCGGGTTCCCTGACCCATATTTTGTGTCTTCAGAGGCGTCGAGAAGAAGCACCAAAGGGCCGAGGGCGCGAAGCCCGACCGCTGGTAACTCTCCCCAGAATGCATCCCTCTGCAAACCGCCATAAAGCTCACGTTATTATTTTAATTGCCACTTATGAATGCTCCTTTCGGGGCAAAAAGGGCATCGCTCAAAGTTTTTCTTCGAATCTTCCATCCGTCGAGATCCCCGACCGAAGTCCCGACAGAGTTCCCCCCAGATTATGATGTTTGAACCATGGTAGCTGGATGCATCCTGCAGAGACGGGCCCCCTGCGTGATCGTGCTGAAAGCCGTCTCGTTACATGTGAGGCCATGCCGCCATGGCGTTCTTCAGATGATCGTCGACTACTCTGTAGATCACAGTCGTGATTCGTGGGCAGAATCAGCCTAGTCAAGTTAAGAAGCGAACTAGCTCGCCAGCTACGACAGAGTTGTACGTCATGTGGGAATCCGTCGAAGCTCAAAGCTTTCAGAAAGATACAAAGCTAGCGTTGATTTCACGACACCAGAGAAAGACGGGTTTCAACAGCGGCACTGCGTCTAGACATTTGATGGCCAGGAGCGTAGTCCATTTCTAGCAGGCTAGCACTTCCTCCATCACATCCACAGTTACCATGAAGAGTCTCCGCTCAAGCGAATATCAAACCACACAATGGGCCCAGATATCACCGCCGTGCTCGCGCTGCCTGGAAAATCATCGTCACTTCCGATTTCTGGAATGTAGGGGGCTCTTTCAATGGAGAGAAAGGGCTACTGCTTCTCCCAATAACCGTTGGTGAAGAACTCGCCTCCACCCATGGGTGGCCACTTGATGATTTCCCAGATTTTGGTCCCAGACTGCCCCAGTCCAAGCACCAATTCTTCCCTTCTGATCCTTGCCTCGACTGCATGCTATCCCGGTGGGCTTCTACCATGCAATACCATTTTCTCCTGTTTCTCCACCTCCTTATGAACCAAGGATGCAGAGACACCCTCAAAGCTGGGGAAAACTCTGTGCATTGGGATTAGCTTTTCCTCTCTCAATCCGGGACGAAGGTATATACGGGGAAATTCCCTGAAATTTCTCACTCTTTTTCTTCCTTCCTTCCTTCTCTATACGCTGCTGTCCAGCTCAGCTTTCGAACCGTATTGCAAACGGTGATACTCCACAAGATGTCTTTTGAACAACCGCGAGACGCTGGAATGCCTCCTGCTCCAATGCATGGAGTGCAATTCCAAGATGCAAATTCTATGAATGGGACCGCTGCCTCGAGCACGCATCACAATCCTTTCTATGTCAAAGATGGCGATACTCCCCGGATCTTCACGGTCTCGCAGGTTCCCCATCCTCCCTTCGAGAAGCTTGGTAACCCAGGTCCGTTGGGACTCTTGAGTTTCGCGGTCACTACTTTCGTTTTAGGCCTTTACCAATGCGGTGCAGGGTAAGTTATAAGTGATAGCGTAGAACCTATCATCGTGAGCTTTTGACTAACTGAATTATCAATAGTCTACCTCACAGCAACCCTCGAGGCGATGTTGGCCCAGACGCTGCGATTTTCGGTCTAGCCATCTTCATGGGCGGCATGGCGCAGCTCATTGCTGGCATCATGGAATTCCGTGTTGGCAACACCTTCGGTACAACAGTGCACATTTCCTACGGCGCCTTTTGGCTCAGCTACGCCATGTTTCACGTCCCATCACTTGGCATGGCGGCGGCCTACAGAGGAGACGAGCGCGCCATCTCCTTCGCCATTGGCATCTATCTCATCCTCTGGTGCTTCCTCACATTCCTCTTCCTCCTTGCCGCTCTCCGGACAAACATTGCCATCGTTTCGGTATTCACAACCCTCGTCCTGGCCTTCCTCTTCCTCTCCATCGCAAATTTCATTGCGACCACGCATCCCGATGCCGCAATCGCAGTGAATAAGACTGGTGGCGCCATCTCAGTGGTTTGCGCGTTTTTGGCATTCTACGCTGGCTCTTCTGGTCTCATGTTACCTGAAACGACATTTATCAGGTTCCCGTTGGGAAAGTTCAAGAGCCCGGAAGATCACCCGCACACCAAGGTATAAACAGAAAATAAAAGGGGAAAGTTTTTTTTGGTTTCTTTTAGAGCCTGGATATCTACAGTGTTATATATACCCCTAGGGAGGAGAGGCCAGCCTTGCTTATTTTAGTCTTTTTCTCTGATGGATTCTATCAAATCTTGTCGACGCCAAGTCATGGTACATTATATCAGTTCTCTGCCCGGGCTTTCTCCATATGCCGTGGCTTTTGTATCGGGAAATCTCTTATCTGCGCATCTTACTCTAAGTTAGTTTAGCTAGAGAATTGGGAAGATCATCACACAGTCTTGGACAACAATCCAACTTGATTACGGCTTGGTGGAATACCGAGTAACTTGAAGGTAGGCCCTAGGGTCTTCCATTCGTTAGTGCGAAATAAAAGCAGATCGATATTCAAAATAATACATATTCCGCAGAATAGTACGGATACAATGCAGCTTGAGATAGCTAATAAAGACCGAGACATCGTGAGCCGTCACTGGAGATGATCAAGATTCCCGATATCCCAATTGGCCATAATTATCCATGCGAAAAATACCAGGTTTGGAAAGCAAGCCAACGGGATATAGAGAGCTATTGAGTATTCCGCACGCCGAGTATCCCAAGTCAAGTAAAGTCCCCAAGCTGAGTAGTTGTCTCTGAGAGTTGATACATTTCCATTTGCCTGATTCCAACGTACTGTAGCTCCCAACATAGTCGGTCCGGGGAGAGTGCTGCCTGGCCCTTGAAGTTGTAGCCTGCATATTATTACCCCGCTTTGGCACATCGCTGCCCATCCCTTAAAATAAATGAAAAGGCCGACTCATGTCAATATCATACCTATCTTATATCCACTCTGGATCCGTTCAATTCGCCAGCTTGGTAACATCCAGATATTATCACAATGACTATGCCCGGTGATTCACTTCTAGGTGATATCACAGGAGGATTGGAAGAGAAAAAAAAGCAACTAGAGGCACTGAAAGATGAAAATGAAGATGTTGAAAGGTTTATAGCTTTCCTTCTACAACAAAAAGCCTCCCTCGAGCAGCTTAGTACCAGGCCAGAGCAGCAAAACAAGCCCGCGAGATTGAGACAAGTGGTGGACGAGCAAATACAAAAAGAACGGGCAAAACTTGAGGAAATCAGAGCCGATCTGCGAAATCTTCAAGGTGTAATTGAGTTGCTCCACTCATAAGTGTGGTTTTCAAACATTCGAGTTTTATTTTATTAGTCTCCCACTAATAATGCAAACCGCAGACATAGTGCTGAAAGCTATGAACAGCCAAGTCCCAACCGCTCTGCGTCCCTCCGTGGTGGAGATATCTGGCGATTGGTATGCTAGTTGCGGGAATGGAAGTTGTTGCTGGGGGCTGTGTGCATTTCGGGATATCGCTTCAGCTTTTTCAATTTCTCTCTTCTTTAAGGCTTTCGCCAGCTGAGATAATTCTTCAGCTGTGGTCGCAATCCTGACGGATGTTGCTTCTATGCCCAACTCCTCTCGCTCCTTTTTATACGACTCATATTCTTCCACTTTTTTCCTCACAGCCTGGTGGTCAGGTTTTCGAATATCAAGCCCAAAGAATGTTTGTACTCGTTCTTTGCCATTTGGACCATAGTACCAGCTATCCAGGGCCTTCCAGTAGATATTGGAGAAGTAGTGCGGCGCCAAAAGTCCCAAAGGAATCAGATAGTCTTGCATGCTGGACAAATCCCACCAATGTTTTGTTAATGGGAGCTCTTGTCTTGGGAGCTTTTCTGGATTATGAAAGGTATATTCCTGACACCCCAGTTCAAAACAAAAGCTATTAGCTGCTGCAAGATACCCAATGAAGGAGATTTTGTCAGAAATCTGAAGAATGTCTTGACTTGTAAGCCAATATGGAGGAACAAACATTTGAACTGGAACTGTGTGGCTCCATTCCCAGTCTAGGACGGACTGAGATGATGTTCAAATTATCATCAACAATGATATTGGGCGGGCGCAGGTCACCATGCATTAAGACAAAAGGCCCATGGTTGAATTCAGGCTGAACCCACTCCATCAGAATGCTCTGGCAGGCATAGATACTATATAAGTATAATTGAGCATCATTCTCATTTAGTATTGATTCGCGGCCCCGGTGAAAATCGTTGGAAATCAGCCTCACTATACTGTAGATATAGTCAATAGTTGATTGAAAGGTATGATTGAGATTCAGAAAGCAGCGAGCATCAAGTCCACTGATTTCTTGTTCATTGATGTCAATTGTCAGTGGATAGGTGTTGGTGAATGTCCAATTTCCACCTTCAGTGAGGGTGAGAGCCCCAATTCGATCAAATTGTTGCCGAAAGAGTTGAATATAGATATCACCTAGTTGAGCATAAAGATGTTCTCGTTTCTTCCGCCTAAAATCATTGAATTTCATTGAATGTAGGGTGTTCCCCTCGATATACTCAATAATCAGGAATGGAAGGCCAAGGATGTTGTCGCCAGTAATTGAGTAGCCATGGATGCGAGGGATTGGAATGGTGGTTTTCTCTGTGATGTATCTATATTCTTGTCAGCATAGAAAATGGCAATGGGCTTTTTGGGGTTATTATTTGGTCAAACTTACTTCATTGTGGCGATTTCACTCCGCATTTTCTCTTCCGGAAATGCCAGTCGGGGAAGTAATGGAATTCTGACCACCCACTTCTCACTCTTGCCGTCATCTTCAAAAACCACTGGGATACATATGTTGTAGCTGCCTCTCTTCCATTCCCCAAGGATATGACAGGCCACCTTTTTTGGATGGCATGACGTCGCCAAATCGCATACTTTCAGGGGGTCAATTCCGGCAACAAAATCGTTACAAGCTGCATTAAGTTTGTGTTCCGTTATTTGATCCATGGATTGTTATCAAGGAAAGTAGTAAGGCTGAGAATCGAGGACACGTCAACTAAGCGGGAAAGTCTCTTGTTTGGGGCGCGCCGGGGAAATAGTTAATTAGAAAAGTAGAGGACAACTGTAAGGGGGAGGATGCTTGGTCTATTCGATCGAGGTGGAAACCGAGCTATCTACGACCGTCGACTGGAAAGGTGTTGTTGGGTTACGTGGAGGCAGCTGGGTTAGCAAACACCACCTAGCTTGCCCGATCTGGCTTAGTGCTAGATCTTTATTCAGTCAACAGCACGCAGCATCAAACTCCCATTTATTTTGTTTCACTCATAGAGATGTGTTGAACCAGTATAGTGAAGAGTCGATCTTACCTTGGCAAGCTTAATACAGAGTACTTTTGGCAACCTCGCATGCCTGTTCGTATTCCAGCATTTTGCAACATTATGCCCACGAACAATATTTCCCACGTCGGGGCATCAGCTGCCTGACCTGATGGTCAATTTTAACATGAAAGGATCGCTTGGACGTCATAATTCCATAGATCAATGATCCCAGAGCATGAAGCTCCTTGATTGTACAAGGCATCCATTCTTCCTCATCCGGGTGTGCGTAGTTAGATGGGGCTACATTCTTGGATGGCATATCAACATGCTGGATGTTGAGATCGTGAGCATATTGAAGAGCGTCAGAGATATCATGGGACCACTGAATTCGATCTGTCAAGGTCGCATCCCTGCCCTTGTGGAAGTAGACATCAAGACAGCCATATTGGGCACGTTCCAGGTAAATCCCATATTTATCATATCATATCACCTGTCAATATTCGGGTAGTATCCTCTTTCTTCAAATCTAGAATAGATTTCCTTAAAGAATTGTTCTCTCGCTTCATTGCCACCCTGTGTAGTTCGGCAAGACAAGAAGAGTACGCAGTTAGCCTAGACCGCTGGAAATCGAACTCCAGCTATCGGTGCGAGACTGTAATATGTGGCCGGTCCTGGAAGGCGCGTCCGCATAGTCACTAGAGTTATCAAGTAATCATGTTCGAGGAGGCATCACATGGAAAGTCATACTATGAATGGTGGCTTAGAGCCGGTATTTAAAACCAGAGGCCATCTCGGAACTTCCATTTTTTGAGCTCGAAATACATAAAGAAGCTGGGGGCAATATTTTCGAGAGGGAATAAAGGATTTGGAGATAAAGGGTGTTGTATAACAAGGGCTAACTAAACTCGGTACCGTAGAGTATGCGAAAACAAAGAATGGGATCGAGAATGGAGTAGTGGCGCCTCTATCTAATCAACCCGTTTGACGTAGAGCGAGCGCAAGCCCTTCGCCAGGAAATAGATGTTGGCCGTAATACTCCTGTAGACCTTATTCCCCAATTCAAATAGCACCTTAGAAGCACTTGCGATGAACAATAGATGGACCAGACTCGTCGTATTCTTGCTTTGAGATCCACATCTGCTGGAATGTGGAGAGGGAGGCGAGAATGGAACCACCGATCCAGACAGAGTACTTACGCTCGGGAGGCGCAATAATTTTAACCTTCATGGAGGAAGGAGCAAGAGCGGTGATTTCCTTCTGCATACGGTCTGCGATACCTGGGTACATGGTTGTGCCACCAGACTAGACATGCGGGTTAGCAGGTGAGACCTTTGAAATCGCAATGCGCAAGGAAGAATAACTCACCATGACGATGTTTCCATAGAGATCCTTTCGGACGTCGACATCGCACTTCATGATAGCGTTGTAGGTAGTGGCGTGGATACCACCGCTTTCGAGGCCAAGGACGCTGGGCTGGAAGAGAGCCTCTGGAGCACGGAATCGTTCGTTGCCAATGGTGATAACTTGACCATCGGGGAGTTCGTAGGATCTCTCCAGGTTGGAGCTCTGGGAAGCGGTTTGGATTTCTTGTTGGAAATCCAAAGCAACATAGCAGAGTTTTTCCTTGATATCGCGGACAATTTCACGCTCAGCAGTGGTAGAGAAGCTGTAACCACGCTCCGCCAAGATCTTCATGAGATAATCAGTGAGGTCACGGCCAGCCATGTCGATACGGGAAATGGCGTGTGGAAGAGCGAAACCCTCATAGATGGGGACAACGTGAGTGACACCGTCACCGGAATCAAGCACAATACCAGTGGTACGGCCGGAGGCGTAAAGAGAGAGGACGGCCTGGATGGAAACATAGAAAGCGGGGGCATTAAAGGTTTCGAAAACGATCTGTGTCATCTTCTCACGGTTGGACTTGGGATTGATGGGAGCCTCAGTCAAAAGGACGGGATGCTCCTCGGGTGCGACACGCAATTCGTTGTAGAAAGTGTGATGCCAGATCTTTTCCATGTCATCCCAGTTCGTGACGACACCGTGCTCGATTGGGTATCTCAAAGTTAAGATACCACGCTTTGACTGTGCCTCGTCGCCCAACGTAGGAATCCTTCTGGCCCATGCCGATCATGATACTAAAAAAGAGGGGTGAGTTGACTGGCACCAAACCTATCAAGGGAGAGCGCATTTACCCATGGTGGCGAGGACGACCGCCAATGGATGCTATCAATTGGCGTCAGTATTCCACATACATTGAATAGGGCAGATGATAGCGATGTGGACTGCCATCCTGGTAAACGAGTCAAGCAGGGGGAAGCTTACGGAAAACAGCTCTTGGAGCATCGTCACCGGCAAAACCGGCTTTGCACATGCCGGAACTGTCAGCAAGCAATTAGCATGGCTGTAACAAATGACCACCAGACCTCCATCCATTGCATCTGTTATGAATATCGACAGGGTGGGGTAGGCGTCGAGGTTGCGAAACAGGTTCGTTGGAAATAGGGCAGTGCTGGGTTGATACAGCATGCTCCGGGGGTGTCAACATACCCATTGTCGATAACGAGAGCAGCAACTTCTTCTGTATAGAGCGAAACACAGGCAGTTAGTCCAGAGTCCTCGCCATCAAGACACGAGCAGCGACGAGGAGATTGGGCGAGGCCAGGTCGAGGTCGAGGTCGAGGTCCAGGGATGCCTTACCTTCCATGGTGGGCGAGCGTCAAAAGGAAACTAAGAATTAATGAAAATATACGTGAGAATGGAAGAAGCAGAAAAAGGGCCTGTCAAGCAAAGATGAGCTGTACAGGCGAAGAGAAGCAAGATGGAGCGAGAAAGGTGGATGGGAGGAAGTTGGGGGAAAGGGAGGTTGGGTGTTGTTGTTGGTGGAATGTTAATTGGGGGGGGTCGAGAGTTGGACGGTGGAAGTGGAGCGAGAAGAGAGGAAGAAGAGAGCAAGAGAGCGAAGAGACACAGAGAGAAAGACACCGAAACTTTGGCGAGTGCAGCACAGAGGGGTTGATACGTACGTTACTAGCTTGAAATCTTGCGTGGCTCGGTACTAGTGACTTGGCTGCCAGGGGAACTTGCCACTCAACCGCGCGTACTTGGTACTTGTGCGTTCGCTGAGCCCGCTTGACAGCCCACTTCCAAAAACACCCCACACAAAAGACCTCCGTCCTGCCGCTTTATATATATTTGCTGGCGCAGCCTCTCTCTCCAGGCCCCAAAATTCATGACTTCGATTTTCTTTTGCTCTGTCCTGGGAATTTCCGACTTCTGGAATGCTGCCGCCTTGATATTTGAACAGCTGATGCGGCAACTAGGTAACGACGATAACAACACAGCATCGCAACCTCAATACGTACTCAGCCCACTTCCAGTTGCTTCATCCAGTAGCTGACTATCCGGCTGCGAACCTTGAGGCCCAAACATAGAAATGACGGGCCATTGGACGTGGTATCAAACCATCTTTGTTGACTACAAATGCCCTTTCTATTTTCCTACAGTACACCTACTTCTGTTGATTTATTGATCCATTTCATTCTGAGCTCAAGCCCTCAATGCACAGCTAAGAGTCCCGAAACTCAAATGCGGTTTGCAGAGTTCCCAAACAGCACAAGATCCTTACAACCCAGCCCGACGCACATACGTACTTGTCTCTAGGCAAAAATATTTAAAACTGCTGCCTCACCGTGTTATCTCACTTGACGCTGAGAGAAAATGTAGACAGGAATGATACTGCTCCTTCACTGCGAATGGTCCCGGTGGCACAAACGACGCGCGTTGGATGGAAAACTCGCTGCTCTTGGCATCGGTTTGCGGTACTGTCCAGAGGTTTGGGAACTGTATCAAAACCTTATGGACGGAGACGCAAATATGGTTGCTAACATCCAGCGTGGATGGCCCCTAATGCCCATCAGTGCCCTATTGCCAATGCAAAATACTCTTCCTTGGGTGTAACTGCGATCTCGATACTACGTAAGTGGCGACTCGGGCCTGACTTCGATGCCTGCCGTGATATCTGCAAGGCAAACCGGGGTATTGCGAGATTGCCCGAACGATCGGGATGATCGTGAATATTCTGGCTTTTTGCTTGGGCCACATTGCGGTCCATGTATACTGAATTTCGATGATTCAAATCTGTCGATGGCTGACCTTTTTTTGAAACAGAAAAGCCTACGAAGTACAGAAGATTTCACATAAAACTATTTTTGCACACAGAAGTGAGGTTCATCTCACGTCAAGAGGTACCGGCCTATACTACGAAGCTGTTTGCCTATCTGCTTTCGAAGGTAGCCATTCCGTTATGACTACTACCCATGGTGGTTACCGGTATCTACTCTGAATGGAAAAGGGATGTCCGGAAATGGCTTTGGTAAGTCGGAATGAGGCATCCTGATAAAAGTCAAGGGCCCTTTTCTCTCTACGCAAACGGAGCTACTGACATAGATGCTGAACCGTAATTTCACACACCTCAAAGGAGCGAATCATAGATATATTGAATCCGTAGTCGGATCCTGCCCACTTAATTTCTAGATGAGATAGCTTAGATAAAGAATTGAATTCATCATAGGAGAGAAAGGTGGTATAAAACTCATATAAGTGCATAAGTCACCAAAAAATGCATTTAAGCGCAAAACAATAGGCTTGTTCTGGATGCCTCGATGGACTTCGATAAGCTTCGATGCCTCGGCCAAGATAAAAGATCGCGCCAAATCGCATTCATCACAGTTTGGACAAACTATCAGCGATTCAGAGGCTCACCGTTCGACCAACCCTAAATAAATACCACCAGCGCGCTGCAAGAATCAAAAACGCCATACTAAGCGCGCAAGGGAAAAAACAAAAAAAACAAGGACGCCCACCATGGACTCGCAGATGAACAACCTCCTTAAATGGAGCATCGAAAACTCCGGTCCCGCCCAGCCCAGCGATTCCGAGCAAGTCAAGCAAGACCATTCCCGCAGCCGCCTTGACGCCGACGCTCTCCAGCGCCTCATCGGCAACGCGCCCTCGGACGCTGAACTGATGAAAGCCGCCATGGAGGTGATCCACAGCGAGGACGCCACTCTGGAAAACAAGCTCATCGCATTCGACAACTTTGAGCAATTGATCGAGAATTTGGATAATGCGAATAACATGGGCGTGCTGGGTCTGTGGACGCCGTTGGTGGCGGCGCTGGGGCATGGGGATGCGGAGATGAGGAAGATGGCGGCGTGGTGTATTGGGACGGCGGTGCAGAATAATGAAAAAGCGCAGGATAAGGTGGGTTTTTTTCTTTTTCTGCTAATAGCCTCTTGATTTTTTTTTTTTCTTCTTTGAAATAATCGGTCTGACTGTGCCTTGGTATAGTTTCTGGACTTTAAAGCGATTCCGACCCTGCTTTCGTTGGCACAGACGGATCCTGAGACGGCCGTCCGCCGAAAGGCGATTTACGCGCTCTCTTCAGCGGTGCGGAATCACCAGGCGGCGCTTGATGAATTGCAAAAGCATTTGCCGAGTGATTATGCTCCCGACAGTGGGAAACTGAACGCTAGTGATATGGACGGGATCGATGCGATTATGAATAAATTGAAAGAGGTTCCGGCGTAGCAAAGATTTGATGCCTGCACCTTTCTTTAATGTGCATGATGGAGTTT